TAGAGAATATCAACAAAGGGGTAAGAAGTATTAAAATAAATACATAAAAATTAGAGTTAAAATGCACAATAATTGATTTAAGAAAGTCAGTAGAGAGGCTTAACAATAGATTTGAGCTGGCAGAAGAATGAATCAGGAAACTTTGAAATAGAACTATTGAGATGATCCAGCCTGAGGATCAAAGTCAAAAGAGGTAGAAAGAGCTTCAGAGACACATGAGACATCACCAAGTATACCAACAGATGTATAATGGAAGTCTCAGAAAGAGAAAGAAAGAGGCATAGTGAATATTTTAAAATGCCCAAACTTCCCAAATTTAATGAAAATAATTATTAATCTATATATCCAAGAAGCTAAACAAAGTACAAGTATGATAAATTCAAAGATGCATACCTGGACACATCATAGCCAAACTATTAAGACAAAGACAAAGAAAGAATCTTTAAAGAAGCAAGAGAGAAGTAGCTAAATACATACAAGGGATCCTAAATAAGGTTAACAGCTGTTTTCTTATCAGAAAACATGGATGTCAGAAAGCAGTGACACAAAATATTCAAAGTGCCCAAAAGACTATCAATCAAGAATTTTATAGCAAGCAAAATGATCCCTCAAAAATGAAAGAGAATTCTTTTGTAAAAATTTTACATGTTAATGGACCTTTTATTTTATTTATATATTTATATGCAAGGCTGAGTATTAAACCCAGTGCCTCACACATGCTAGCCAAGCACTGTATCACTCACTGAGCCACAACCCCAGCTCTGAATGAGAAATCTTACAGGAGATGATACCTATACTCTTTTAACTGACAATCTCAATGCAGACACAAGTATACTGGGGAGAAGCCTTACACAGGGCCGCTGAAAACTCACTAGTTACTTTGGAAAACAGTATGATGGCTCTTCAAAGCATTCGACAAAGAGTTTTTATATGATCCTGCAATTCTAGTCCTAAGTACATACTTAAAAGAATTGAAAACTTGTCCACACCAAAACTTGCCAGTGAATGTTTATAGGAGCATTTTATAATAGATAAATAATGGCAACAATCCAAATATCCATCTACTAAATAAATAAAATGTGTTATACACATACCTTAGAATATTGCTTAGCCATAAAAAAGAATGAAGTATTGACAATAATATATGAATGAACCTTGAAAATGTTATACCAAGAGAAAGAAATCCAGCACAAACGACTACATATTATAGGAAATGTCCAGAATTGGCAAATTATTAGAGATCAAAAAGCAGAACAATTGTTCCCAGTATTGGGATGATAAGGAAATGAACAGTGGCAGCTAGTAGGTGTAGGCTCTAATTTGGGGATCATGAAGATGTTCTGGAATTAGATAAGTGATAATTGCTTCATAACTCTTCAAATATACTAAAACAAACTACTTTTTGTAGTTTGTGTACTGTGAAAGATATAAATTTATGGCATATGAATTATATCTCAATAAAAGGGAAGAAAGCACTATAAGAAAGGTTCGAAGTGGAAAGTCAACACACCCTGACCACAACTCCTTCCACCATCTATTTGTGACTATTATAGTTATAACAAATACTTTAATGTCTTGTGTACTAATTCTAGTATGTGTTTAATTTCTCTCTCAATTCTGAGAAGCCAGTTTGAATTTGCTAAGAATAGAAACAGGTAGATGTCTCCCTTTTTCCCTCTGCTGGGAGAAATCTTACTGGAGATGAATCCTATGCTCTTTTAACTGACAACCTCAATGGAGTCCCAAGTCAACTGGGGAAAAGCCTCACACAGGACCCCTGAAAACTCACTAGTTGAAGCCATGTTGTTCCTCCTTGGATAAAATAAACACAGATAAAATAGATATAAAATCTAAGCTGAGTCTTATGATACACACATACATGCTCACACACACACACATCCACATCTACACATATATCTGAAACAACCTCCATCAGAGATTTTATCTAGTTCTTATAAAAACTGTGATCATATGAGCCAAATCCAGTCATGCCCATTTGTTAGTTTGTCTATGGCTGTTCTCATGCTATAAAAACAGAGTTGAACAGTTGCAACAAAGACTATTTGGTGTCCCAAACAAACAAATATCTCTATGGACTTTTACAGAAAAAAAATTTTTGCTGAACCCTGATGCAGACCAATGGTTTTCTCAACTTTGCTTTCTGAAGTTGGAGCAGTTTTATAGGCATGTTCTGGGGTTTCCCCAAGAAGTAAAGGGACGGGGATAGCACCCATCACTACCACATTCAAAACATTGACTTTGACACAAAAACTCTCTTTTAATCTATTGGATATTATGAACTTTCTTTGGAAGAAAACATCTTAGACATATAAATCTGTTCTTCTATTTCAACAGTTTTATCTTCTGAAGTGAAAATTCAGAATGGAGAGAGAATGTGAATTACTTACTATGTTACACAGCTTCTTTTATCAGAAATCTCGTGATCTCCAGGTCTGAGGGTTCTTTCCACCATCCTGAAATAAGTTAGCAGAGTGCTCTCTTGAAGAATCCCAACCTCAAAAGAGAAGAAAAGCAAGCAGAATGAAGAGCACAGTGTCCAGTCTACAGATGATGGCTGGAGACAATCTGTGACTTGGGCTTGAATTCCTGGAGCACATCATTCAGCCCAGGCAATTCTTCTCCCTTAGAGAACTCCCATGGCACTGTCCCACTTAGGAAACGAGCTGTTGTTTATTCAACCTCATGTACAAGGTGACAGGAAGAAGTAAGAGGAACCTGAAAGGGCAGAGAGGCCCAGGAGTAGATATTGGAAGGTGATACAAACT